TGGCGATGGTGACATGTCCCAGTCCAGCAAAGGGATGTCCCAAACAGCAAATAAATGCGTCGTATCTACAGCAAAAGCAAGGAGAGCCCAACAACAATAAAAGCGTCGAGGCTTGACACCAGTAATGCCTTGCTAGTTTCAAGCAAAGCTCTGGCACACGATTAGCTACCTGCTGGAGGGAGCGGCCATGCCAGCCGTTTTTGTGGGCTGGCGGTGGTGGCGTGTCCCAGCCCATTACGGCCGCGATCTTGAACGAGCCGGTCGTTCCAGCACCCAGCCTGCTATTAATGCCAGGGCGCCAAACAAGGACGCACCCAGGCCCAGGGAGAGGTAGGCTCACCCCTGGCATCTGTCACCAAAAACAAACCAGCTGTAGAGCCTGCACCCTCCTGATTTTTCAATTGAGATGAAGGCGAGGTTCTGGTCGGACCTTACGAGATTGCTCCTGACCAGACTGAAGCCGACCACTTGCGGGCGCGTTGACTCGGATGTTCAAGGGTCGCGGGTCAAGGCAGCTATGAAGCGGCGCTCTGACGGCGGCACGCGGTGGCGGAGCGTGCCCCGTGCCCCGCGTCCGTGTTCCCGCGCCCGCGCCCGCGGCCCGCCCGCGTCCCGTGCCCCGGTTCCCGTGTCCCGCGCCCGCCCCGCGGCCCGCGCCCGCGTCCCGTCCCGTGCCGTGCCCCGTGCCCCGGTCCCGTGTCCCGCGCCCCCGCGCCCCGCGGCCCGCGCCCGCGTCCCGTGCCCGCGGTCCCGTGTCCCGCGCCCGCGTCCCGCGCCCCGCGCCCGCGTCCCGAACCCGTGTCCCGCGCCCGCGTCCGTGTCCCGCGCCCCGCGCCCGCGTCCCGAACCCGTGTCCCGCGCCCCCGCGGCCGCGCCCGCGTCCGTGCCCCGTGTCCCGGCCCGCGCCCGCGCCCCGCGCCCCGCGCCCGCGTCCCGTGCCCCGTGTCCCGCGCCCCGCGCCCGCGTCCCGTGCCCCGTGTCCCGTGTCCCGCGCCCCGCGCCCCGCGGCCCGCGCCCGCGTCCCGCGTCCCGTGCCCCGTGTCCCGCGCCCCGCGGCCCGCGGCGCACGGCAGGCGACCTTGAGCGGTGACCCGACCCGCGGTGAAGGTCGGCGTGCGTCAGACCGACGAGCGTGATGGGAGAGCACCCGCCCAATCGGCGACAGGGGAGTGGAGTCCGCGGGAACCATCCAGTGTTTGGGGATGAGCGCATAGTGTACGACATTTGTGATGACAGACTTCCTCATTAAAGGCCTCGAGTGGAGTTCACGAAACGTCCAAAGTAAGGAAGTTTAACTGTCCCACGTGCAATCATGGCAAGTTGTAGGCAAAACATGAGTGTAATCTTTCGTGTTTGCTGGTTTTGCTTTGTTTCTTTTGAGTTGCACCAGCCGCCCCTCTCTTGCGCTGTCATAAGCAGTAACCATGCTCGCATGCGGGAAGTCGGTGAAAATGCCACGTTTCGCGTGGCGCCCTCAGCACATAACGAGACGGGTTTCAGTGTCACTGACCCGAAACGGGCCCCTACGTCATAAAATAGCCAAAATTACCTCTCACCTCCGACCTTGCGCCCGAAGTTGCGCCACATCTACCCGTCACCGTTTCTCTTGCCGATAGTTGACCTACTGCATGTTTTAAATTGCTCTTCATTCGGAAGTCTAAAGCGAGGCCGAAGGCTTGCGTTTCAAGCATCGAGATCGTCAAAGATTTTCGTTGTTTGTGGCACATCAAAGCTGTAGCAGTGATTATTGTGAAACGTACAAATCACGTTTGTCGTAAAAAACAAGGTTACCGGCACCGGTTGACTCTCCAGGTTTCGGGTCCTCGACAGCTCGGCGGCTCGAAACACTTCCGGCACGAAGCCCGACTTGACCTCAGTTTAAGGACGACATCAGCTGCACACACGACAAATAATAACTGACACAACAATGGTCCCCACCTCGCCGCCCACCTCCAGCGGCCGCCGCCTCCGAGCGGTCGGAGCAGCTACCGGGCTGGCGTCGTTCGCCCACCCCCTGACCCAACGGTGCCACGCTGCGCGGAACTCTCCCGCCCGACCCGCGCCGC